TTGGAGGGGGACCATCAAAAATTTCTTAAAAAGTGGGAGACTGACTAGTTTGCTATTTACAACGAACCGAGGAGCTAAATTTGGTATAACCAAACACAACTTCAGAATCCATCTAAAGGCAGGGAGGAGGATTTGAACAAGATTGAATACCTGAATTCCTTGTTCTTAAAGTAGAAATCAGCCAGCAGGTAGAAGATTTCGCTTATTACAGGCCTGTGGAAGAAATGATAAGAACGCTGTAAAATGAAAGCATTTTAGATGGAGAATGCAAAAAGTACAGCAACTGAAATTGAGAAGACACAGTACCTTTTTACACCAACTAGACGATCAGGCAGCTTCGGGACCGGTTCATCTCCACCCTCGATAAACGACTGCACGCTTTCAAAACTGATGGCTAGTGAAATAAAACAAAGGAGATGCGCCACGGCTTACACATCTTGAAAAGTTTAGCCTAAATTTTTCAAGTTCGTCGTTTGTAATCCATCTTAATCTTCTCCATCCTCAACCATTCTTGTTCCTGTATGGTTTATTATTGTCTCTTTGGCGTTTTTCTATCTCAGCAAACTACTATTTTCAAGTTTCCTTCAATAGAAAGGTAATTTTGCCACAGGCAGCATGTTTTCCCGCGCTTTCAACAGACTGCATGTTTCCCGCGCTTGTCACTGTTTCACATTCTAACTGGTTCACTGCGTAACATCTGTGTTTGTGACGACTGGCCATATGCAATTACTTTGGTTTAAGTATTACGACAGTGCGCTAGTACCATAATTTTAAGTCGCAGAATCTTGACGCAGTTCAAACAGCGTTTTTCACCTATTTCTGGCCTACCTTCAAGTTCTTGCTGAGGAATCACCACCGTTATTCTACGGAGAAGATTCTGTACCTGCAAGGCACCAAGAGAGTCACATTTTAACTCGCAGATTTACACAAATCGCAAGACTTCTCTGAGGAAACACTATACACTCTTCCCACAGGCCTCTTCTTAGAGCTGTCAGATAGATTAATTTCATGAAGACAAAATTAAGTTCATTTTGTACTGTCCAAGCACATCAGTTCCTCAGTTGCCGAATTTACACTTAGGACGTATTAACTAGCTGTCTGGGACGGTTAATTCGTCTGCCTGAGACGGATAAATCGTCTCAGATGGATAAATCGTCTCAAATGGATAAATCATCTCAGATGGATAAATCGTCTCCTGATATAAATTCGGCGTCGGATAATTCGTCTCTAGTATAAAAAATTCGGCCAATCTTGAAGCGCACAACCTCTCGCAGTCGGAATCCAGCCTTGAAGAAATTTTTAAGCCAAGAAGCACGGTGTAGCATTATGTCAGTTTTTTGCTATCTCATACGATCGACCCATTATCTGAAATGCAGGCATCAAAACCCATCTCACCTCTGCAGAAATAGTGTTAGCTTTGCTGTCAAATGTGGGCGGCTCTGGGGGTTTGAAATAATCAAATACTACAACCGAGTTACTCCACGTCAGGGCAATCTGTTTGAACAACAAACAAAAGTAACTATTGGAATATTCCAACAAGCTAGAATTGTATACTTAGGTAGTTTATTGTAGGTAATATCTTGTAAATTATATTTACTTTTGTTGTTGTTTCAGTTTTCCTATAACAAGTGGAAATTGTATGCATTGTAACGTTTCTTTTATTGTTGAAAATTAAAAAAAATAATAATAATAAAATGCCGTAACTGTTAGAGGATAGCAACATTAACAGTTCAGTCAACCCTAAGCATGCATGTCACGTTTCAAAAAAACTGCGTAAGAGCACAATTTTTTGGAGAAGGAAGGGTAGTAGAAAAAAGTTAACCTTAGCAATAAAAGATAGGAACAACTTACCTGGGACGAGTTGTGCTCCACGAGGTTTCGAGCCTTAAAAGGGAGAAGAGTCATTAGTTATCTCGTCAGAATTATTCAACGCAACTGTACTCACACTTTGGTAGGTAACTACAACAAAACAAGGACAAGAAAAACGCACAAAAAGGGTTGTATCTTTTACATGCAAGTGCCGTAAACGTCTTCCATAGGAGACTTAAATCGTAGACACTCATAGCGTACTTGACGTTAAGGGACGCGAGTAGATACACTTTGAGGTATTCACCCCGAACTAAGCTACCTCATACCTTCGCTTTCTTAGAGATAGAAGGATGTCCATAAAGACACAAGAAACACTGTTCCAGGTCGCGAACCAGTTCCTACAGAATAAAAGAGTACCAAGCATTTCAAATTAGTTTTCCAAAGAGAATGACTTTGAAATAAGTGCACGTTTTGTTAAACTAACACCGCACTTGTCACTGTAACAACACAGAGTAGCTGCAAATGTAAGCTGCTCAAAGCGAAGACATTTGGCGTAGAAAGCGCGGGAAAATTCGCGGATGCCAATTAACGCGACTTGCACAAGTAGCGGAAGCCAACCACAATTGGATTTGGTCTTATACTTGATTGGTTGAAGTAAGAAGATCTTTGCTCTGATTGGGCAGAACACACTGTACGAGCCTTTTTAGTCGCTAACACTAGCCAGAATGCAAATACCTATTTTTTTGTCTATGTTGAATGCATGTTCAATTAACGAAAGTCAACTGATTTTAAGTAAATGCCTAACGAGTATAGTTTTATAAATGAATAATTTATAATAATGACAAATAATAAATATTAATTTTATACACGACACACCTCTCTTGCTGGGACGACTGGTTTTGCAATTTCTTCTGTAAGAACCTCCACTTTAAGCAACAAAAACACTCCTTCATTGTTACAACACCAACCACGCCTTGAACAAATAAAAATAAAACTCAGAGTGTTGGGACAGGAAATAGCTAAAAACTAGATGAAATGTTCAAATGTTGTGTTTACTGTGGTCAATGCGCTTAGCTACACCTAGCTAGTTCACAGGCATGCCACTTTAACTGAAAGAAACAAATATAGCAATTGTACATGAGAGATTTAAAAATCCCAACTGGCGGGAGGCAGACCAGTAGGCTATTTACATACACGACCGAAGAGCTGAACTAGGGTCTACCGAGAAAAACAACTCCAGCTAAGTGGTCAGAGTGGGACTTGAACCCGCGACCTCCGGATTTCAAGTCCGCTGTCCTAAATACTCGGCCACGCTGCCTCCCTCCATCAATTTACTTAAAGTAAAGAAAAAACCCGAACACTTCCCTCTTCGGGTAACCAGTATTTATACGTCTGCTAGTCTGCTAATAAGTAAGCCACGGAATCCAGGGCACATTTTCAGACATTGCTTCAAAATTCACTTGTTTTCCTTACCTGCCAAGATGCTCATGCGCAGTGCGCAGAAACTGCAGTGACGGTGATATGTTACTAGCAGGCATGTCACTTATCACACTGACGCTGCTCACATTGCTATCTGTGCTCGCAGTCTCAGGCACTGGAGTGTCTGTAGGTGGAGGAACAGACTGAACGCATGTCTTTGGGGAATTGTCCACTGTCTCTTCGTACTTTTCCTGGCTAAAATTTGAAGAAAATTAAATGATCGGGAGATAACAGGAGAGCAAAAAGGACATAAGAGTGAATTAAGTCAAGATAACTTAGGTTCTAAATAAGACTCGAAAACAAGTTATGCCAGATTACTTTCCACACTCAGTTGAAAGATGTTACTATATTGGAAGAACAAACAATCCCAGATACCCTAGCGCACCCAACTGGTGACCAGTCTCCCTGGAGATTTTAGAGTAAGGAACAAGTCCGAACTTACTGTTTGATGACCCTGTAGAGTAGAACCCAGGGTTTAGCAGTTGCTAGTGGAGGATCAGAACTGTTCTCAGAAGCGTTCATGGAAGCCTCTAAAACCTGTGCAAAGACGAGTTAAAAGACCATGATATAATGTCTGATACAAAGTCACTACATGCTTATTGCGTGTTGGTAGTTGTATTTGTGTGTAGTAGCTGCTATTTGTGTAACATATCAAGCACGGGGAACAGTGTTTCATCACATTTCCAAACAACCAGAAAAGACTTGAAAATGTGTTGCGCAGCGGAGTAGTTTTTTTTGCAAACTCGGAGGTGTTTGGAAATGTGGTAAGGCACTGTCGCAAGTGTTCACTTTAATATATCTTCGCGATCAAAACTAAAACTAAGGAGAAATCGGATAAACAAATTGTACAAAATCAATGCCAATTCATGATCAGATATCCAAACACCTTCACGGGTGATTTCCTTTGTTTACACTTGATGAATTATTGATGAATTTTAGAAGTGGTTGTTAAGATGTCTTGATGGACATTCATGTGTGAATACCTAACTTTGAACCTGGACACAGAGATGGATGTATTCAAACACTATAACTTTTGCTCCAAATCTCTGGGAAAACCAAAAACACTGGAATGCGAAATTACCATGTCCTCAGTATGTAGGTGCCTGTACAGTATTAGTACAAACTGATTTTACATCTCATACAATCACAGCTTTCCCCAGACACTATTGACATATTTTGCCTATATGGGTGTGAAAAGTGCAGCTGTACTCATTTACAGAAACCAAGGCAGCAATGTCCCAATACTCGTATATAATTTAACAAAAATACAGTTCAATCTGATCACTGCACCTTGATGATGTTTTGAGTCAGTCTGCACAGTTTATCCTGAGGAATCTTGTCCAACACGGCCTTACATTCTAAAATGCTCCTGGATTGAAAAGAAAACAAAATAAAGATTTTCTCTTTGTCGCAAAATAAGCACATCAGAAGGACCACTTTAAACTATTTCAAAGCAACATAACCCACGCTCCGGTTAGGTCAATTTTACGTTAAATGTTGAATATGTTTTTTTCATGCTAACATGACTTCACCACTATTACAAACTGATTCTGATTCCATGCCTGTAGCCAAGGCACAAAAAAACGTTNTAGCTCTCTGTACTACCTATTTCGGGCTATGGTCATTGCCAAATGATTAATATTCGTTTACTGATCTTTAACAACACTCGAGCTCTACAGTTGGTTGAAAGACCTATGTAACCTTCTTAACTAATAAGATATGTAACCGTTGTTTGCACCCAATCGTGAACACTTAACAAAAAAGACATGATATAATTGAGTATCAAACGTTGCATGATTTGTCATGACTCATTTAAAGTTTGGCAGACCGTAACTCTAACTTTGGCACCCAAAGTACGACACTGCCGTTTCATCGAGTAGTAAACAAGGTTTTAAATAAATAGGTACAGAGGAACCGAATTGAATCAGTAACTGTAGTGACTTCAGATGTTTAGCGTACCTTGGTCTTGGGCTGTGGCTGGTGGAGTGTGGGCATTAGGCGCATCACAACATCTTCATAATAACCTGACTCGTACAGCCGTTGAACCTGTCAAAAGGATCACCATTTGAAACGCAATGACAAATACATAATTACTTCAAGTCCACATAGGTCGAGTAAGCAACATTCGTGGCAGGGACTGCAGGGCTACGCCCTCTTCAACGGTAACGCGAAAAAAGCGCATAATCTAATTGTTAAGTAAATAGTGAGTAGCGTAGCAGTGTGCGGTTGTTAACAAAATTGAGGCCGATTCCTTACGTTTTGGAAGTGTCTGTGAAGAGGATTTAGATAAAGTTTTCAACGACTAGCAGATTTATACCACAACAATTATTCACTCTTGATTTCTGTGCGTGATAGAAATCTCGAGTTCATACCGTGGTCTAATCAAATAGAAACACTCTTGATACTTTGAGAGAACTGCTGCGTCTGGGACTCATGTTTCCACAGCATTTCTCGTTCTCCCAAATTTCCATTCGTGTTTTCATAACTCGATAGAAGCACGGAAAATGTTCTCTACTTTTTAGACGGCAAATACGTTCAATGAATTGTTTGTTAACATACCTCTTCTAATGACTGACACCTTTGCAGTGATTCAAGTTTCTTTTGGACTTGATCTAGAAACATAACAAGCATCAAAGGGACCGTTACCCTGAGTAACAGACGCCTCTAAACACATGCTCAATTTTTCGTTGAATTCCAGAACTCTTCTCCGATCTGTGAAAATGACAGTTTTCGGGTCGAGTCTCTTGGACACCTCTTAGGCAGGAAATGAAACGAGCGTGGCAAGAGAGATGATTTTGTTACTCAGGCTCACACGCCATATTCCAGATGCTCATACTCAGATCAAGGCAAACCTCGGTGAAAAAGGATTGTTTGGCGAATTTCACTAATGTCAGGAACCAGTTAGAAAGTGAGGATGGCTTACGATTGCAAAAGGACGGTAACAGACTACAAAGAGGTGGGTACAATTAAAATGTGAGGCTGGATGACACAAAGACAGAGAGATGAAATTGGAATTTGGCATGTTAGTTTTTGTGGAGGAGGAAAATCAGAAAAGCCCCAAGAAAACCCTTGGAGAAAAGTGAGAACCAATAACAAACACAAATGGCTTATTATGCTTGGTCCAGAATCCGAACCAGGCCACAGTGGGGGCAGGGTGCACTCTCATCACTGCGCCATCCATGCACCATGGGATGTGCCATTGTCATTTCCAATTTATTTACTTATTTACTATTACACACATGTATGAAATGCCTGTGTGTTTTTGCTTACCTAATGTGATGATGTTGTCAACTCTACAGTTCACCAGCTTAACAGTGGTAGGACCCTCAATCGAATTCACCTTCAGGGTCAAGAGCTTTGAACTCTGAGGAAATGAAGAGTAGACAAATAATTAGTCCATATGGCAAGATTGCTGCTCGAGCTGGCATATATACATATTATTAAACTTGCATGAGGTCTGTATTGGGCAAATATTGGTCGTCTACATGTACTTACCCGATCTAAGTACATCATGGCATAATCCATTTGACCTTGCAACATCAGGTATCTTGCTCTCATCCAGTTTACTACAGAACACAAAGTGGAAGTATCATTTCGTGCAAATTATGAAAATTGAAAAAAGCAAGCTATCTCTAGAAAGGACTTTCAGAAACTTGACAGAGTGTGACAAATGAAGATTCTAAATGAATGGCATAAAATTAACAAAATTTTGGAGCATGTTCTTCTCACTTAACAAATTATTTTATCTTTGCTTGAAGACCAGCTTCTTCCTTAAACGGTTTTCACAAAATGACAAATAGGATATTTTTGTTGTTGCACACAATTCCCTTGACTCTTTAACGAACTTCAAAACACGGAGGTAGGTCTTTTTCAGTGCACCAAAGTAGTCAAAAGACACTCAGTCAATCAAGATATCCACCACTGATGATTGTGTAGCTGCAGTACACTCTCGTTCCCTCTAAACGTTTTTTTTTTTACCTTCTTACTTTTCAATTTCGGCAAACACTAATAGGATCAATCGAAATTGTGCTAAATTTTCCAATCAGAAATACCAATAACATGAGCACACCAAATTATGTGACATCAGCTTTTTGCCATGATGACACAACAAGTTACTTAGCAACAGCAGCGCTGAAAAATTGCAGGCTCGAGAACTTCGTAAAAAGAGGAGTGCAATTAAAACAAAAATGTATTCCTGAGTGCTCATGCCACCCCTCCTTCAATGTAAAAATCTCCTTCCAAAGATACAAGGAGTGTATAGGTACCTCTAATAGCCATTTCAAGAGTGAAGTCTCCATGAATGGTCTGAAGCGAGCTTATGCGATGGAGGTATTCAATATCTTCTGCCAAATACTCGCTGGAAAACCCACCGACTCTCGACATAACTGATCCACCACTACAGAAAACAACAACAGTGGCATGTGTCAACTTTAGCGAATCTACATAGGAATCTTCCCCTATATAAAGAGGCATGTTATATCAAATGCCTGGAACGTTCCTTAAACAAGGGACTGAAATCCAACAGAGAAGTTTGGCTTTTCTCAAGAGTAGTACTTTTTGTTTCGTCTCCTCATTGCCATCAATATGCTATTTAAATATATTATAATATTTAGAGAGGAAGCCACATCAGCCCTAGCCGGTTTTCATGTGGGTCCTCAATCCTGGTCAAATTGGAATTTAGAAGTGTTGGCTATTTTTAAATATACCCTTAAAACAGACCTTAAAAAAGACCTACCTTGTATGCATATTATAGTCTGATGATGGTATAGTTCTTACCTAAATATTACTATTTTTCCAACTTAGTTTTGTCATTTGTTGTCTAAACACTCTCACACAATGAACATACTCAGATTATCTTTCATCCTCTAAGATGAGATAACCAAAGAGAAATAAACTAACCCACGTGGTGAACTGGCAGGAGAGAGACTGGATGACGACTTTGACTTGGCTGTCAGTAGTTTGTCCAATGTCAGCTCACTGGCCACAAGTACAAGCTGATGACAAAAGAAAGAAGGTGTTTAAAGAGAAGAACAAAATACATTCATTTGGCTGAGACAACCTTGTCCGGGGCCCGTTTCTTGAAGGTCCCAAAACGTTTTTGTACCCGGAAAGCCATAGCAAAATCTCTAACCTTATGATTACAGAGCTGTTTTATTCACACATTCTTAATTCGAACAAAGGTTCCCTTCATACAAGAAGTTTCAGGCGTATTTATGTCTCAGTTTTTAGATAAAGATGAGCTAAAAATGGCTTTACAGGCCCAAAATGTTTCTGGGGCTTTTGAGAAACAGGCCCCAGGTCTTAACTTACCAGTAGTGTTGTGGATAAATATCTCAGTTAACTGGTCCCACACACAAAAATGAGATTTTTGTTATGTAATGAAAAAAGTGATGCTCCACTCAAAACAGTGGAGATTTCCATAGTTGTTTAAAATGGCGGGGGAGGGGGCTAAAAACCTGAACAACCATATGGTCTTACCTTTGCCATTCTTGTCCTGTACAATTCATCTTGGTCATCACTACAACATCACAATTATGAAGATAAGTGTTGCTTAACAAAAGCAAAGCAAAANAGAGGAAGTACAAAGGATTGAAGAAAAGTTTTTTTTTACTTACCAAGTCTTTTTATTTTGAGCTGCAAGACATATTCCATACTGATTCATCAAGTCAATGATTCCCCTGTGAGGTGAAAGCAGAATAACAGGGTCAGTTACTACTTTTGTTCACTGGGACAAGTACCAGCTAAGGCAGGAGAACCAGTGCATAAAGTGGCCAGAGTACTTAAGGGTGCCTGCACTCAGTATTCTTTGATTGAATAAGAACACTTCAAAACTCTCAAAGTAGTTCTCAAAGGCATTCATAAAACATCACTTTCCCACTAACTGGAGTATTCAACATCCACTTGGGATGTACATTTGTAAGGTAAAAGGTAAAGTCTGCATATGAGCCAAGTGGCCCATCAGGCCCGAGCTTATCCTGGTTTCTGTAGCATGAAGCGACTAGGAGTATTTCTACTCCCCCCTGGATGGGATGCTAGTCCAATGCAGNGGAGACAAGCGCACTAACCATGAGGCCACCTATGAAAAATTAGGTTCATTAACAAACTCAGCGGGCCTTATTTGGTCTGTGCACCTTCAAAATTACCCCAAGTCTTTGTTTTCTGGGGAAATTACAGCCAGTGGTAAGCTCTCTTTCAGCTAGTGAAATAAACCAGTAGCAGGATCTTACCTAAGTACCACAGAGAAAAAAACAGAAAGAATCGTCAAAAGTAAAACTGACCCATTTTCCATGTGTTCTTTGACAAAGGTGAGAATGTCCAGTGTTTCTGCTTCACCAGTGATTTTCTCATAAGTGTTTCCATCTGCACCTGCTGGGTTTACAATGCAGATCATTCGAGTGTAGACAAGTCATTTTCAAAACTTTTATGGCCATTTTGCAGCACTGATCTTCATAACAGTGAAACTTATAATAAGCAGTTATGTAACTAAGGGAAACCTCTGTAGGCTAATTAACAAGCTAAGTCGGCTTTCTAGTACCTGTGCACAGCCAGCCTTTGTTTTATACTGAAATTTCAGCCAGTGATAAGCTTTCTTTTGGCAGGTAAAATTAGCCAGTGGCTGACTCTTTGCTATGCCCCTGTGAAAGTCCACTTTACATTCTAAAGGTACAGTATGCCTTGATGTATACTAGACAGGTGTGATAAGTACAACAGCACCAGTCCAGAAATGAATTTTTAATATAAAGTTACCAGGTTTAGAGCTTACCTGCAGAAATGCCTTCTCCAGGTTTCCCTTCTGAATTCTGTGACTGGCTACTTCTGCATTGTGAAAAACGATTTATCAATATCCTTTTCAGTTTGGCATAGAAGATGTACAATGAGTGGAAAATGGACAGGGAGTATTAAAAATATTTTAACCAAAGGTATACCTTTGACTAAACTGTGATCCATCAGCAAGACTATCTTGACTACTGTCATCATCTGCACTCACACTTGGTCTGACAAAAAAGGTAGTTCACAATACATTTGCATAGCAAACTAGCATCCTAAGCTCTATGTGGTAATTAAATTAAACAGCAGTCTTATTGTAAATACTGTTTGGGCGGTCAGTGTTCATGATTAAAACCTTAAAAATGTTGGATCTGACCTAAAAATGATNTTTCACACTGACTGCAACAACATATTTACAGGTCTTCCATTGAAGTACTATAATTATACAGATCAATATTTGAGGGTAAAGTCATACCCTCGCTGATCTTCTCTTGGGAAGGAAATCATTTTCAATAGCACTTGGAGGAGGCTTCTTTCTTTTTGGTCCTCTTTTACTCTTTTCATCACTGTCACCTAAACAACAAACAAAAAGGTATACGGTTACATTGAATCACTGGCTTCTCTTCCCAAGCAACAATAAAATCCATTTTTGATGCCACCCACTGTGTTTATTTTCAACTCACCTAGTATGGAGAATAAACAATTTGGTGTTCAATTGGATAAACATTAGCATCTCACAAGGCTGGGTGCCATAGAGAAACAAATCCAATAAATATATCAAAATACATAAAACTATTGGGTCAGTCAGGCAGGTGGGTTGATTTTTTAAATTTGACCAGCTAGGATAAGATCATACACCAACTCCAAAAACTCCTAAGCTGTGTTTGTCATGGAGGTGTAACAGGCCTAATGAGTGTTGTATATGCATTGTCAACTACAAATTGCTGCATTTCATCCAAACAATACATTGTTTAAATCTTACCAAGATTTTAAATTTCCTTTTTGTTGTAGAGTTGAGTCATATTTTAATTTTGTAATAAAAATGAGCAAGGCAAGCGAATAAATGAAAACTAATGCAAAGTTCAATAACCTGTCTGCACATTCTTGTACACTGAAAAACCTTCAGTAGAAAAACTTGAGCTTGAATAATCTGGTACTTTAACAACAGATGGTCTGTAGGACATAGAAATGTCTGAAAAAAGAAAGAAAATTTTTTCATGAATATTTAAAATGAGACGAATCTGTGATCTGTTGGGAAAGAAGAAAGAGATATTCTTGGTCTTAAACAGTAAAAAAAGCATGCAAACATCAGACACAAACAGCACATTTCAAACTTATCGCCATTGCAGATTATTCGAGATCATGCAAGCCCTCTACCAATGATATATGAAGTCACTGACAGGCCCCGTTGTTTGAAAGCCAATTAGTGCTGGTTAGTAAGAGAATTATGCAAGAAGCAATGAATTCTCAGCATGGTTACACGTGAAAATTTCATACTTAAATGCCTTGAAGCTCCCTACATTTTGCAACTGAACAAAGTCCTCAAACATAATGATGTCAAATACCTGGTGGTGCAACAATAGCTTTGTAATATCCCTCCAGATCAACTCTTCTGCCAAGTGGCTGAAAAAATACAGAGGGATACATTCCTAATGATA